AAAAACAACTTTGGAAGGGAGGAGGAAAGACACTGAATCAGTTTAGACTAAGGTAATAAGAGGCCATCAGAAATTGGACTATGTTATACACTAGATTCTGAATACAATCCTCATGGTAACCACTAAACAGAAAAGCAGGACAGAGACACAAATAATAAATAAGGAGAAAACAAAGAAACACATCATAAAAAACTACATAATTCAATGGGTAGACCAAAACACACAGGACGAGAGACAAAGTAAATGCAGGAGAACTGGAAAACGAATAATAAAATGACATCATTAAGCCTTCATATATCGATAATCACCCTACACGTAAATGGATTGAATTCTTCAATAAAAAGACAGAGTGGGGAGATGGATTAAAGAACAAGACCCAATAATATACTGCCTCTAGGAAACACATCTCAGCTCCAGTGAAAAACACAGGCTCAGAGTGAAGACATGGAAGATGAAACTTCAAGCTAATGGCAAACAAAAGAAAGTAGGTGTCGCAATAGTCATATCAGACAAAGTAGACTTCAAGATAACCCAGGTAAAGAGAGACATAGAGGGACAGTATATAATGATCAAAAGGACACTCCATCAAGAAGACATCAAGGAGACGTATAAATATCTACGTCCCAGGATATTTATATCCAACCCAGGAGCACCAAAGTTCATAAAGCAACTATTAACAAACCTAAAAGAAGATATTAATAATAACACAATAATATTAAGGGACTTCAACAGTCCACTCACATCAAGGGATTGATCATCCACACAGAAAATCGACAAGGAAACAGTGGAATTAAATGAAAAGCTAAACCTGTTGGACTTAATAGACACATATAGAACACTCCATCCAAAAATAGCAGAATACAACTTCTTCTCAAATGTGCATGGAATATTCTCAAGGATAGACCATGTGTTAGGAAACAAGGCAAGCTTTGATAAATTCAAGAAAATTGAAATAATAACAAGCATCTTTTCCGATCACAATGCTATAAAGCTAGAAATTAATTACAAGAAAAAAGCTGAGAAACGGACAATGATGTGGAGACTGAACAACATGCTATTGAACAAGCAATGGATCATTGATGAAATTAAAGGAGAAATGAAAAAATATCTGGAGGCTAAGGAAAATGATAACATATTATACCAACTTATATGAGATGCAGCAAAAAATGTATTGAGGGAAATTTATCGCAATATAGGCTCACCTTAAGAAACAAGAAAAATTGCTAATAAGCAATCTCAAATTACACCTAACTGAATTAGAAAAAGAGGAACAAAGCTCAAAGTCAGCAGAAGGAGAGAAATAATAAAAATCAGAGCAGAAATAAATGCTATTGAAACAAAAAAGGCAGTAGAAAGAATCAATGAAACAAATAGCTTGTACTTTGAGAAGATAAATAAAACGGACAAACCTGTAGCCAGACTTAGAAATAAAAAAGAGAGAAACCTCAGATGAACAAAATCATAAATTAAAGAGGACATAATGCCAGACACCACAGAAATAGAACAGATTATAAGAGAATACTATGAAAAATTATATGTCAATGAAATGGATAATCTATAGGAAATGGATAAATTCTTAGATGCTTACAACCTGCCAAAGCTGAAGCAAGAAGAAACAGATAATCTGAATAGACCAATCACAAGGAAAGAGATTGAAACAATAATCAAAAGCATGCCAAAGAGTAAAAGCCCAGAACCAGACGGCCTCCCTGTAGAATTCTATCAAACTTTCAGAGAGGATTTAATTCATATCCTTCTCAAGCTATTCCAAAAAATTAGGGAAGATGCAACGCTTCCTAACACATTCTACGAGGCCAACAGAACTCTGATACCAAAGCCTAACAAGGACAGCACAAAACAGGAAAACTACAGGCCAATATCGCTGATGAACAATAGATGCAAAAATCCTCAACAAAATTTTGGCCCTCCAAATTCAGCAATACATCAAAAGGATCATACATCATGATCAAGTGGGATTTATACCAGGGACACAGGGATGGTTCAACATCTGCAAAGCAATCAATGTGATGCACCACATCAACAAATTGAGGAATAAAAACCACATGGTCATCTCAATAGATGCAGAGAAAGCACTTGACAAGATCCAACAGCCATTTATGATAAAAACTCTTAACAAAATGGGGATAGAAGGAAATTACCTCAACATAATAAAGGCCATATATGACAAACCCACAGCCAATGTCATACTCAATGGGCAAAAATCGAATGCCATCCCTCGAGAACAAGGACAAGACAGGGATGACCACTATCACCACTCTTATTCAATACAGTCCTGGAGATTTTATCCAGAGCAATTAGGCAACAGAAAGGAATAAGAGGAATCCAAATAGGCAGGGAAGAAGTGAAACTCTTGCTGGTTGAGATGACATGATCTTATATATAGAAAACCCCAAGGAATCCATCGGAAAACTATTAGAAATAATTAACAACTACAATAAAGTTGCAGGGAGCAAAATCAACTTACAAAAATCAGTTGCTTTTCTATACTCTAATAACCAACTTACAGAAAGAGAACTCAAGAGTACAGTTCCATTTACAATCACAAATAAAAGAATAAAGTACCTAGGAATAAATTTAACCAAGGAGGTGAAGGACTTATACAATGAAAACTATAAGACATTACTGAAATAAATTGATAATGACATAAAGAGATGGAAAGAGATTGCATGCACGTGGATGGGAAGAATAAACATAGTTAAAATGTCCTTACCACCCAAAGCAATCTACAGATTCAATACAGTCCCAATCAGAATAACAATTACATTCTTCATGAAATAGAACAAAGAATCCAAAAATTCATATGAGGCAACAAAATATGTCAAATTAATAAAGCAATCCTGAGAAAAAAGAACAAAGCTGGAGGCATCAGAATCCCTGACTTCAAAATGTATTACAAAGCCATAGTGATCTAAACTGCATGGTACTGGTACAAAAACAGGCGCACAGCTCGGTGGAACAGAACAGAAACTCCAGCAATAACACCACACATCTACAGACAGCTAATCTTTGATAAAGTTGCCCAGAACATACAATGGAGAAAAGACAGTCTCTTCAATAAATGGTGTTGGAAAAACTGGATAGCCACATGCAAAAGAATGAAAGTAGACCATTATCTCACGCCATACACAAAAATAAACTCAAAATGGATCAAAGACTCAAAGATAAGTCCTGAAACCATAAAACTCCTGGAAGATAATATAGGTAGTACACTCTTTGACATCAAACTAGAAAGGATCTGTTCAAATACCATGTCCTCTCAGACAAGGGAAATCAAAGACAAAATAAACAAGTGGGTGTTCATTAGTTTAAAGAGCTTCTGCAATTCAAAAGAAACTAGGATCAAAACAAAGAGACTACCCACCAATTGGGAGAAAATATTTGAAAATCATATATCTGACAAGGGGTTAATCTCCATTATATATAAGGAACTCACACAATTGAGCAGTAAAAACCCAAATAGCTCCATCAAAAAATGGGCAGAGGATATGAAGAAACATTTTTCCAAAGAAGATATACAGATGGCCAATAAACACATCAAAAGGTGTTCAACATCACTAATCATCAGGGAAATGCAAATCAAAACTACACTAAGATACCACCTTATGCCTGTTAAAATGGCTATAATCACTAAGACTAAAAATAAGAAATGTTGAAGAGGGTGTGGAGAAAAGGAACCCTCATACACTGCTGGTGGGAATGTGACTGGTGCAGCCACTATGGAAAACAGTATGGAGATTCTTCAAAAAACTAAAAATAGGACTAACATATGACCCAGCTATCCCACTAGTGGATGTCTACCCAAACAACTTGAAATCAACAGTCCAAAGTAACAGGCACCCCTATGTTCATTGCAGCACTATTCACAATAGCCAAGGCATGTAAACAATCCAAGTGCCTGTCAACCGATGATTCAATAAATAAGATATGCATATAGACACACACACACACACACACACACACACAATAGAATACTACTCAGCCATAAAAAAGACAAAATCATCCCGTTTGCAACAACATGGAAGGACCTGGAGGGAATTATGCTAAGTGAAATAAGCCAAACTGAGAAATACAAACACCAGATGATTTCACTCATACATGAAATATGAACAAACACATAGAAAAGAAAAACGTTCAGTGGTTAGCAAGGGAAGGGACTGGGGAGTGGGCACAGCGGGTGAAGGGGAGCACTTATGTGGTGACAATGAAGAAATAACGTACAACTGAAATCTCACATTGATGTAAACTGTTATGAACTCAATCAAAAAAAAAAAAGGAAATGCCATGTAAACACTAACCAAAAGAAAGGTGGTATATCTATACTTATATAAGAATAAGTAGATGAGATGTTGATCCAGGTGCCATTGTAGAGGTAAAATGGAATATATCCCAATTATAAATGTGATGGTGTGCTGTTAAATGTGTAAAAATGACTCTCTTTCTCTTTCTGTGTTTTACAAAGCCTTACTTTGTAGCATTTTCCAATTTCCATAGTGTCATTTTTCCCATTATGGCTGATTTCAATCTACCAACATGATGCCATTGAATGTGGAGTTGGGAAGAAATGTGCACAATCAGCTTGAAGCCAATGCAACCCACTTTTAGCACACCACTCAACAAAGAATCAGTCCATCAGGAGCAGATCATGATGTTAAACCTGTGTGTCTTCTATAACATAGCATAAAAAACACATAAGCAAAAACAAGCATATCTACAAGGAGAAAAAGATAAAACATTATAGTTGTGTGACATTTTGCATAAAATTTAGTACACATCTTATAAGAGATGATTAATAAGCAGAAAAAATTAGTTAGGACTAAAGAATATTTAACAATCCAAGTAGCAAACTTAACCTATTTAACATTTTAACAACACAATGCATGACAGCAAAATATATGTACTTCCAAAGTTATATTGAGTTTTCAACCACACAATAATTTATGAGATACATCTCACTGTCCTCATGACTGCATTAAGAGGACTTAGTTATTGTCACTTAAAGAAGATAGTCTGTTGACAAATATTTCTAGGGCCTGTTTTATATCTCTGTTCCGCAGGCTATAGATGAAGGGGTTCAGCATGGGGGTAACTACTGCATACATGACTGAAGCAATTATGTCTTTGTTGTTGGAGCCCCATGATGAAGAGAAAAAGTAAACAGCTGCAAGTGTCACATAGTATAAAGACACCGCAAAGAGATGGGAGCCACAAGTAGAAAAGGCTTTAAATAATCTCTTGGTGGATGGAACCTTCAGGATGGTGGTCCCTATATGGATATATGAGCCCAAGATACTGCTCAAAGGCAGGATGAAAAGCATTCCTCCCTCAGTGAAGATGACTAGCTCATTGAGGGAAACGTCTGAGCAGCTCATCTTCAGGAGTGCAGTGAGGTCACAGAAAAAGTGGGGGATGCTACTGTAAGCACAGAACGAAAGTTGGACCAAGAGGAAGGTGTGCAACAGGGCTTGTGCACAAGAGAAGAACCAGGACACTGCTACTAATAAGACACACAGCTCATGCCTCATAACAATTGTGTATTGGAGTGGCCGACAGATGGCCACATACCTGTCATATGCCATCGCTGCAAGAAGGAAGTGGTCAAGACAAGCAAAAACTAAGAAAAAACACATCTGAGAAATGCACTCCACATAGAGGATTGACTGTTGCTTAGTCTGCATGTTCATGAGCATCTTTGGAACTGTCACAGATGAAAGAGAAATGTCAGAGAAGGCCAAGTGGCTGAGAAAGAAGTACATAGGGGTGTGGAGGCGAGAGTCCAGCCTGATGAGCAAGATGATGAGCAGGTTCCCAAGCACTGTAGTCAGGTACACGCTCAGGAAAAGGGCAAAGAACATGTTCTGCTGATCTGGTTGGATAGGGAGCCCCTGGAAGAGGAACTTGGACACTCTGCTCTGGTTCTGAGGCCTCATAATGTTCTTCAATATGCTGGGGATGAAGAAGGTTTGGAAATCTCAGGAACCTAGAAATCATTATCAGGACCATTATCTCGTATACTGTACTTCTCTGGGAAAACAATAAATTTTTAAATACAATGAACTTTAAATTTTAAATAAGAAATTTTTAAATTTTAAATAATTTTAAAAATTTTAAATACAATTAATTTTTAAAGTAATTTCTCACATCTGTGGGTGTGTGCAACTTTGTTCTATCCCAGTCTGGCTTCAGGAAGCCATTACACCGAAAAGGAGCCAACAAATCCTCATTGTGCAGAAGCAAGAAAGTGTCCATGGTTTATTCAATAATTACTTATTGAACATTGAGTCTAAACATGGGCCTGTACTAAGGACTGAGACTGCAGCAGTGAACAAGAAAGGTAAGGTTGCCACTCTCTGTGAGTGTAGATCTTGGTGAGCATATAGATATAATTCACCATAACAAGCCAGAGCCAAATCATAAGAATTCACTGTAGCAGAAAGAGTAGGTGAGCCATAGCAAGCTGAGATCAGTTGTTCCTTCCTTATAGTAACGTGAGACTCCAGTGCCGAGGCAGCACTGTTGGAGCATTATCGCACTCTCCTCCTGGGAACCTGGCTGGGTCCCGGTGGCCTACAGTTATAAACTCACAGTCACACTAGAAGTGGGTATGAGCTTTTCATTTAAAGCTACTTGATGCCAGAATAGCTCCCAAACCAGAATAGTCCACAAACAATCTTTCATAAGAATGGAGAACATTTGGGTAGTGCGCTAAGGACTTACCTACACTTCCTAATTAAATGCACACATCAGCCTTACATTCCCAGATTTTAAAAAATCTTCCCAGTTGCACTAAGAATGTTCTTTTACCTATTTTAGCTCTTGAGATAAAGAAACATAAATGATATAAATTCCTTATACCTATTTTAGCTCTTGAGATAAAGAAACATAAATGATATAAATTCCTTATATATATATATATAAACATAATGCCATTTTCTGTAGGTTAAACATACAACATGTTGATTCCTTCATGTACTTCTATATAGTATGTCTGTGCTGTCAGAGTCCATGCTCTCCACCACTACACATGGACACTTCCTCCATCACTGGTTAGGAGTGCTGGGCACCCTGTGTTACTTTATGGCTGCAAAGAAGTCAAAATAGTTCAAAATGTTCTTAGTTCCCTGCCTGGAAAGTTCCCTTCATTCATATTGATCTATTTTCCAACTGACAAAATACTCTCACATTTATTATCATTTATTCAAACAATACATGTTTATTGAGAGCCTGTTAGTTTCCTGAGGCAAGTGTAATTACTTCCATATTATAGATTGAAAACTGAGGCAAAGAAGTTAAGTGATTTTCCCAGGATCTCACCCCCATTTACTGAGGGTTCTGCTCTCTAACTTCACGCATGATGATGTTAATATATTTTTTCCTGGGACATTAAGTGAAAGATTAAAAAACTCTGAGTGAGTCAATCGCACTCAGGTATATGAAAATCATAGCAGATCCATTTCAGAAACAGGGAGTTGCTTGAAGCCTTGGTTGTCTCAGTCAATGGTGCTCCAGAGGAAGGTACTAAAGGAAATATTGAGTCATGGTGGAAAATCAGAAGCCTCCCTAAACACATACAAATCACACACACGCAAACACACCCACACACTGCTGATTTGAGAATTCCTATCAAATCGGTGACCAGTTCCTATCCTAAAAGAAGGATAGCCAGTATGTGGTTCAGTTCATAAACATCATATACAATCATACAAGTGATAAATGACTCACAAAATGAGACATAAACAACACACAAGGATGTACCATTCACCCACAAACACATTCACAATGCACTTCAACACACCTGATGCATGACACACCTGGTAAACACTCAACTCAGCTATATACATAACTCAACACTAAACACATGCATCACCAAAAACACACAATGCAAAAATCTACCAAGAAACACTCACCAACAACACATATGCACATCCAGCTACACACTCACTGCAACAAGCAGCACACAAACTCCCGTTACTGAGAGACATGGTTAGGCCCCTTCTCACCACACACTTCCTGGAGCAAGGCAGTCAACATGGGGCAGTTAAGTCTATTCGCACAGCCAAAGTCACTAAATGACCAACAACCCATGCATGTGGTGACATACACATGGTAATATACACGCACAAAAAAGCAAACAATACACACTCCTGCTCTTACACACAAGTGTGTCACCCACACAGTTCACACATACGTGAGCACAACTGCTGAGCAGAGGTTTGAGCCCTCTCAAACTTTAGATCCTCGGTGAAGTCAGGCATCTTCTTCTCCAGCAGGAGAGAGAATAATCTCACTCCTGATTCTGAGCTCTCATCTGCTGAGCTGTGACACCTGCGCAGTGGGGGAAATGCCCTCGTCATAACAATGGGAGGCAAATGTTTAAGATCACAGGCATGAATCAGGAGTCCCTAAATGAAATGTTAGGAGGCTGATGACTTGGTCTACATGTGATAAAACAGAGCCCAGACTGACTCTAACTGAGGAAAAGCATCAGGATGTGCATCAGATACATAGTACACACACATATATGTAACTGTCAAATAACAAGAACACAAGCATACATACACACATACACGCACACACTCGTGAACACAGAGGAACTTATGCACAAACCCACAAGCACACAGGCAGATCCATTGCCAAGTGCAGATTTCCTGCTCACTCTAACCTTTGCTTGTCATTGGTGAGTTCAGACACCTTCTGCTTGGACTGTTTCCCAAATTCTCAGTTTCTCTTCAGGAGACTTGATATGGAGAAGAAAACAAGAAATATTTGTGGGCTAGGCACTTCTAAAGATTTTCATGGTCCTTATTCAACTCCAGAGCAATAAGCAAAAAGATAATGTTTTAAGTACCAGAAAGAGGACACAAAGTGTCCCCAGGCTTCTTTGTCAGGGAGGAGCTGCTGTAGGCTAATTGGCCAATTTCTTACTGACCTTTGGGGAGCTGCACTTCCACAAGCCAGAGTGGACTGGAGTCCCAGGGGACAGTGTCTATGATGCCATCATTGCCTTTCTTCCTGGGTGTGGTTCCACCTTGGAAAAAGCTTTTTTTTTTTTTTTTTTTTTAAAAGATGTCACAATGGCTTGTTTACAAAGGTGTTGGCAAGTTTAAGGAAAGCTATTAAAGGTTGGGCACTCAGGGCTAGCAGCCATGGGAAACAGGTATAACAGAAGGCAGTGGTTATAAGAATTGGTGAGACATGTAGGGGTAGGAGAGGACCCCTGGACAGGACTGGGGACAGCCACTGTCAACCCATGGGCCAGCAGGGAGAAAAACAGAATAAATGCCCCAATCTCTCTCTCCTTTTGCACTTGACCTCTTGCTTGTGTTTCCACCCACCAAATCCAAAGGCCCAGGGAACCCAGTTCACGGAGTCCATAAAGGTCGGACTCCTGAGATGAAACAGGCTAGAGAAGGCTGGAGAATGGACCTGGAGGGGAAAATGGAGAGTTTCTAGTGCACATTGGTATAGACAATATTTTCTGATTGTACACTTGTAAGCCAGCTCATGGGTGGCAAATGTGCTGACATGTTTTGTTCTTCAGACATGCTTCTTTTCTCAGTGTAAATTTGCCTCTACAGTTTCATTGTAAAGACTATAAACTCTTACAGAGGAAGGATACACTTTATAGAATTACATTCCTTGTCCTGCTCATGGTTCAGCAGTCCATATTCGTCTCTGACAGGGGCTACAAGGAGAATATTTTGAAAGATCATAGTTGTCTGCCTGGATGCCAACTTTAAATTTAGTAACAGACCTGTAGGATATTCTATTCTCTCTTATTGAGTAATTATGGACAAGGGATTTTTCTTACCTTTTTATTTTGAAACCATTTGTGACTTATAGAAAAGTCAAAATTACACAAAAAGTATCATATATATTTCACCCAGATTCCTCTAAAGTTAAGACTTAACCTTGTTCACTTTATTATTATGTAGGTATAAACGTATCTCAGATTCAGGCTATAAATCTTTCGCAGATACACCACCGTGCAAGTTATCAGGAGGCAGCTGGCATCAATTTTCCCAATTACTGGTGATTTTAAACTTAGTAACTTGATTAAGGTGGTGTCTTCCAGGTTTTTCTACTATAAAGTTATTATTATATTGTTGAAATTAATAAACGTAATGGGTAGATATTTTGAGGTTATGTAAACATGCTATTTCCCATTAAAATTTCAACCACTATATATAACATCATATTTCATAAGAATCAAGTGACTCTAGCATGAAACAATTATAATTGTGGTGGACAAATGGTGATTTTTCCCATCCCATCAATTATTCTACATGCATTAGTTCTCTATATGAGAGAAATTTCTTTTCCCTACTGTTTAATTTTTATCAATTTATTTATATCACTATGGATTCATAGATTTTAACGTAAACTCTGAGTAATAATCAATTATAGTTGTTATTCTTTTTGAAACTCAAATTATTCCAGATTTGGCCATGGTGAGCCACTTGACCTGGCTCCTGAGTCCTCCTGATTCATTGATCATTTCCTTACTTTCAGGTTCAGGAAAATTTTCCCAGATCATCTTTGTATTTCCTGGCCTGGCCCTGAAATCAGCCATCCCTCTAAGTAAGTTAGATTACATTTAGGGAAGAATGGTATTTAGAGAGAAAATTTCTTAGGTGTGTTCATTGTTTACAAAGCTTCACATATATATATACGAGATATATATATATATATCTCGTATATATATATATGAGAGAAACACAGGAAGTATAAACAAGAAAATAAACTAATAAAAATGATTACTCATAGGATGTGGGGCTGAAATCAGTTGAAAAGCATGTGGCATGAGAATAGTATAAATATTGATATATAAATTTTAACCTATTTATATATGTATTAAAAACCATGAGTTCACACTGACATCTCAAATTCTAATGCCACCACAGACTTCTTTCCAGCCTCTCCTTTTCCATGTATGTGACACCTTTCCTGATAGTGAGGAGTCATTCCCTTTTTCAGAAATATTTCTTACTTATTCACTGAATCCTGGAATACATATTAAGTAACTTCAAAATCCTGGACGCATATCTGTGTGGATGATAAAACTACTAAGTACAACTCAATATTTTTTCAATTTTTTTCTAAAGGTATATACGCAAAATATTGTGTTCCAGAAGTACTTGGATTAGTTATTTTAATTTCTCATTCATTCTAATTATGTTATTCATTTGAAACATAGTTAAGTTAGTTTATTTATGTTATTTTTTTGCTTCCCATTCTGTTTATTTATTTTTGAGCAAGCAAAACATAACCTGGTCAAAACATATAAATAGGTATACCCATCTCCCCATCCTTCCCACACATTCTCACTCAGCCATTGTAGGAAACCAAAATCATTAGTTTCTGACTTCTTCCTGTGTTCCTTTTTGCTCATATGAGCAGATACATGTATATTTTCTTATTTCTCTTTCATTTTTACACAAAGATAGCATGATGTATATACTCTTGGATATATTGCTTTTGTATACTAACAATATATCCTGGAAATCATTCTGTATCAATTAACAGATATCTTTGTCACCTGGAGAATAATAACATAAGAGCTAAAATTATAAATTACAAAAGTAGAATCTATTAATTGCTTTAGATTATGGACTGGTGTGAAATAATTGACTTTAGTTATTAACACCATAGGGAAGGATATTCTTTAAAGCTTAGGGACCTTATCTGGAGATTTGAAGAAAGTTTGCTCAAATAAGAAAAGAGTGAAAGGAAGGGCCAGAAGCCTGGGAATAGTTATCGAAAGATTGGAGAAGCAGCCTCCTTGTAGTGGAGACTCCTTTGCAATGGGATTGGCCTACAAAGGTGATGTCAATCTCTCACGTGACTTCAGAAATACAGTTGGCATCCTGGTCCCAACACCATGCCCATTGTGGCATAATGACTGGGGATATAGGAGTGAAATGTTTGAAAGACTTTTTTTTTGAAAGACTTGGTAATTCTTCTGTTGGGTATGCCATGATTTGAGTTTAAATATAGATCTGGAGACAATGAGGGCTGATAGAAGTTGGTCTTGAGAAGAATCAGCATACCTATGAAAGATGACTGCCTCAGGAAGAGTTATTATAGCCTGTTAGGCAAAGGGCAAATAAATTCCTCAGAGAGAGGAGAAAGGACTGTATATACTGGAAAATGAGGTTCATTGACATTCAGTGTTTCCATGTACTCAGATTTATTGCAGTCTACCCAAATTTTCCCATTCCAAGTCTCAGGAAATCACTCTTTCCAAAGAAATGACCTAACATCAATAAATGACAAGGCTATAAATTCAATTTCATTGTAATTCAGTTACCTATAGGATGAGATCCTGGGTTTGGTTTTTAGAAACCTTGGTCATGTGAAAGGAAAAATAAAAGTTTTTTTTCTTTGTACAGAAATCATAAGAGCTTTTATATTTCTATTCACGTATTAGTGTTGGAATTTGAAATACTGAGCTTGTCATATTCTTTCTCAAAGTTCTCTACTATACTCTGAAGCAGCCAGTCCACCCCAATCTCCTTCTCCTCTTTATTCCCATGATAACATCCTGTTGTTAAGGTTATTTGGTCTCCTAAGTGATTATAACTGTTTTGCCAATGGATTCAATGGGTTAACAGTGTCCCATTTCCCAATAGCAACGAATTCATTACCACTTTCAGATCTAAGTAGACTGGATAACCAATTCCAAATCCTCATATTTAAATTTCCATTTCTTTGGAATCATTTTTTTGGTACTAAAAATTGCATCAGCCAGTTAGAAAATCAGATGCTTCTCTGTGATCTTGAAATAATGAGTTTAATATAAAATTTGAGGTTTACAGAATTGTTGAAAGAATGAGAGGAACAAAGTTCAGAGAAGCTTCTGTCAGAGGTAAGAGAGCTTGATACTGAAGATCTTTGCCAGAAGCACCAAAGAAGATGGTTCTACAAGGCTTGACTAGAAGATGCTGAAACTATTGAGAATCCCTGAGAAGTTTCCAGAAAGTGTCTTAGTCTGCAGTGTCAAAGCAGGTGCTTTCAGGAGTGTTGCTGAAAGCCTGGATAGAAGAAAAAGGCTGAGTAAGGGAGAATTTGCTCTTTCTGCCTGAATGTTTTCAAGCTGGGACATTGGTCTTCTCCAATCTTTGGACTTGGACTCAGACTGGAACTATACATCATTGTCTTTCCTAGGTCTCCAGCTTGCCAAATGAAGATCTTGGATTTTCTCAGCCTCCATAATCATGTGAACCAATTCCTTAGTTTACGTCTATATATCTACATATATATATATCTCTATGTATTTATATATCTACGTATATATACATGTATGTGTATATGTATATATGCAGATATATATATCCTTTTATTTTTTTTAAAATTTTATTTTTTCCTTTTTTCTCTCCAAAGCCCCCCAGTACATAGTTGTATACTCTTCATTGTGGGTCCTTCTAGTTGTGGCACGTGGGACCCTGCCTCAGCGTGGTTTGATGAGCAGTGCCATGTCGGCGCCCAGGATTCGAACCAACGAAACACTGGGCCACCTGCAGCGGAGCACACGAACTTAACCACTCGCCCACGGGGCCAGCCCCACTTTTAATTTTGTTTTTGTGGAGAAACCAGACTAATCCAGAGTCTAAGGAGAGTGAAGACATCATCTGTACACAGGGACAGCCAGGTGTAGGCTCTCAGAGCCTCAACAGGAGAGGAGGGTGTCTAAGATGAGGAAAGTCTGCCATGAGATGTTGCAGTCCATGTAGGGTGAGAAAGAGGGCTTCCGTGGAAGGGGGAAACACAGAGTGGGGAGTCAAAATGCAAACAGAATGAGACAGGTGTCACTGTGAAGAGGCAACTCAGTATGGGGAACCAGAGATCAAATATGATAAGAAAAGTGTCCCTACTAAGGGAAAAATTTAAAAATTCCAGGCTGAGCTAACATCTGTGCTAACCTTCCTCTATTTTGGAGGTGGGTCACCACTACAGCATGGCTGAAGAGTGGTATAGATCCATGCCCTGGATCCGAACCCACAAACCTGGGCC